TTTTTTTTGATCAGCCAGGCTCCTAATTACCTGCCTTACCATTATTTGAATTTCTTTCTTTCTTTCTTTCTTTCTTTTTTTTTTGTTGAATAGCCTTTCTGCAAGCCCTCTATCCCAGTGGTGGTGAGAGAAGCACCAGGATTGAGGCCTTGGTGTCAGGCTGCTCCATCTATTGGTGGGGATCGGCACCTGCTGGAAACCGGGTCCAGCGTGACTTAGATACATCAATACAATGCAGTCTTTTCTTTTCCACTGGTTCCTGGGGCTATAGCCTTCACCCTTCCTGCTCTGGAGCTCCTCCTTCCCCGCGTGGCTGCAAGTAATACCCTTCCTATCCTCGAGTTCTCTCTTTTCCACAGGCCCAGCCCCCTTCCTAGAATTGCAGACTATCCTTCCTGTCCTACACCTCCTTCTAGCCTATTAGTCTTGGCTAATCCACGTATATGCAGCCCCCCCTGTAGCTCTGGAAGCTCCCCCCCTGGGAGCAATTAGCACAATTTAGCAGTCAGACACAAGTGACGCCGTCCAGGCATCCTGTATTCCTGTACTGCCCACTATCATATACCTTCCCACCCCAGCATTCTGTTCCTTTACTCTCTGCCCCTGATCCCCCATCCATCCCCCACCCCACCATCCCTCCTTCCACCCCAGCGTCCTCAACTCCCGTACTACCACATCTGTCATGTAACATCCCACTCCGGTGTTTTGATCTTTCCCTCTCTGGTAACACGGAACTTCGGAAGTTGGAACAAGTGGATGGGCAGAACAGAGAACCAAAATTCTGAGCGATTGGAGAGAGGAGAAAAATACAAGGAGGCGTTGTGAAAAAAAAGAATGACGTGGAAAGAGGTAGAACCGTAGAAGTCTCTCTTTTTTTTTTTTTAACCGGCTCTGGGTTACTAGGGGGGGGGGGCATAAGAGCACCCTTCCCTAGCAGGGCTTGTTCCGGTTGCTCCAATCTATTGGGGGGGAGCTTCACCTGCTGGAAGACGGGTCCAGCATCCCATGGAAGTACATAGGAAGTAACGGGGCCATTACCCGGCCTCGGCTCCGAGTAGCAGATCCCTTGAACTCTGTGGTTACAACCAGTAAGGGGAGGGCAGGAAGGGAGGTCCTGGGGGGCACCAGGGGTACTCCCTCCCTCCCTCCCTGCATCCTATTCTGAGAAAGAGTGCGAGAAAGATGAGACAAATGAGGACTTGCCACTCTGAAGCTTGCCAATCAGTGTCAGTTAGTTAGACAGCGACTCGATTCCACGCAGTTCAAGCAAACCGCGCAGTGGCGGCATAGTGGATTTCTTGAATTCATCCCATTACGGCAGAATTCGGACTCATGACCAGTGTACGTTTTTTTTTTTTTTTCCCCAAACAAGGCCAGGGCGGGCCTANTAGGAGCAGCCTCCCCTAGTAGGCCTATTGCTGGCCGCTCCATCTATTAGTGGGGAGCATCACCTGCTGGAAAACGGGTCCAGCGTCCCTTGTGTACACGAGGAAAATTTGAGTAAGCAGGCGACGATCAGCGTCCCTTGTGAATACATGAAGATTAGCTGGGAGCAATCTGAAACACTCAACAGAAGCATGCAATAGCTCATCTATTATCATGCACTACCCATCAACAAGTGGCTATTATCATGCACTACCCATCAACAAGTGGTAAGCAGGTGACGATCAGAGGAGGCCAGACAAGCTCTAGACAACCTATGTGCCCTCTGTCATGAGGGCGCAAAAGAAGACGTACACATTGCTTGTTCTCCTGCTCAAAGACGACACAGCTCTGGAGGAGAACCGAATCACTGTGGGCTTCCCTAACGGAAACGCCCCTACCTGGTAACAGCATTACACAACTAACCGGCCTAAGCTGTCGCATGGCAAAGGACCCCTTTTCAAAGACTTCGACCTCTCACACTTTGGATAATATGGAAGAGGAGATGTAAAGAGGCTATAGCTAGTCAGACTGTTCCGAGCCCGAGGCTTGGCAGACTCTCCTCCACCTCTTACGGGCAATCAGAAGAATAGCTGGGAGCAATCAGAAACGCCCGTGTCAGAAGCATGCAATGGCTCATCTATTATCATGCACTACCCGTCAACAAGTGGCGAAGCAGGCGACGATCA